TTTAAAATAAATTTTTTCATATTTAAATATTTATAAGTTAATTTAAATTTGACTCAAAATTTGATTTGAACTTAACTTAACTTAAATAAATTCAAGTCAAAATTGAGTCAAGTTAAACTCGAGTTGAGTTAAATTGAGTCGAGTTTTAAATTTATATAACTTGAATCAAGTCGAGTTGAAAGATTTTATAAAATAAATTTGACTCGACTCAACTCAAAAAAAACAAGTCGAATAGAGTTGATCTTTAAACTTAATTTGACTCGACTCATTTAGAACTCTAACCATGCGAACTGAGACGGACCCTATGACTAGTCTATTGAGATTGTCTCTTTAATAAGAAAGTATTTTATGTCAAAAATGTAGGTATTTGATCAAAAAACCATATATTATCTCTGGTCGAATCTGAAAAGAAGGCCCTTTGCCTAATAGATACTAAGCGCTAGATCCTATCTGATGGGATAACTACTTTACCATATAAGCATTAGCGTATTATAATTTATAAGAATATGATTAAAGATGATATTCCTCACAAAGAGGTTGAAAAAAAGCTATAAGGGTCAAATTCTTAGAGAAGTATCAAAATGAATGTGTATCTCATATATCTAGTTCACCCACATAAGCTAGATAATGATAAGTAGTCAAATTGCATACATTATTATATTATTTTTTTCCTGATGCGATAAATTCAGTTAATGAAAAAATGATAGCTGAACATTTATCTAATAATAGTTTTCAGCATGACCCAGTCTATGATATACACAGCAGAGAATATATTGATGATCTTGTACAAGTTCTAATTTTACATGACCTTTTTAAAAATGCAGAAGACGTAATGTCTATGTCTAAGGCTTTAGCTAAAATAGTTCTAACTGCAAATATTACTATAAATTCAATTAGAAAATATCTGAATAATAATATTCCAAATGCATTTTACGAGCTGGTAGAGGCATTTTATTATTCAGTTCTAAAAGAAAAGTAATAGTGGCTAATAGACTGAAAAGCTCTGAACGAAATTCAGTGATAATTAATAGTTATATTTTTTCTGATTTGCGAAAATTTGCTATTATACAATCCAACCAAGTATGATATTAATTCTGCTTCTGTGTAATTGGACAAGCCTAGATATAATGTTCATCAGTATTACTTGTAGATCATATTTCTATTAGTTAGAAGCATGAAAAGTATTCATAATTATCATTCACGAATTTTACTTATAAGATTCAAAGTATTACAAATTAATAAGCAAATGATTATCATCTTGTAAGATAAATATCTTCTCCACTATTTGCCAAATTAATCATTTTTTTAATTAAAGCCATACCAATTTGATTTTTCATTTAACATAACACCCCCCTCTCATTTTGTAAATTTAGTATGAATATTATACACAATATACAACCAATAAAATTGCTGTATTTTTGGTCATATGATAATTTACCAATCGCATCGATTACATGAAAGACATATGAAACTGCAAATATTTAGAAATTTGTACAATAATTATAAAATATAATTGTGAAAAAAAAATAAAAGCTTCTTACCGCCATTTTCTCTTATTTTTACGCATGAAGAATTTATGATTTTTTTTTATAATTAGCTTTTCTAATAAAGCTTTATTGTTCTGGCAATATTTTTTGATTTTCAAATAATAAATGTTTAGGTTTCTCCAAAACATTTCCTTTTCAGCTGAATTTTATTTATTATCTTTGTGCTGGGATTCAATTTTAAAATTTTTAAATATTTTACTTCTTTTTTCTGAGCCCCACATTTTTTGTAGATCATTTGTGAATTTTTTATCTTACAATATTTGCAGAATACAAGATACAATTGAAAAATCATGAGGAAGTCATGATTACTAAATGGATAAAGTAATAAAAAAAAAAGACTTTAAATCAACTAGATTTTAATTCCAAACATTAAAACTATCAAGATAAAGTTGGATAAGTTGGATAGGTCAATTGGATAACAGATTACTTGAAATACTATAATGAAATTAATGGATTATCTTTTTGTTCACGAATAAATAGATTTTTAGATCAGTATTTTTTGCTATTTTCGTGATTTTTCATGTAAACGGCACTAGTTCATAAACATGCTCTATCTTTTGATACAAGTTAACGAAAATATCAAGTGCATCATTTCTGAACGTATAATAAGCATAGAATCTACAACCAATAAGTTTTGTGACCTTTTGATGCTGTTACAGTAGGGTAATATGATGATAGAGAGATGCAAGTCTTTGTTAGAAGAGAAAAGTCTGAAAGTTAGCGAGAAGTTGATAATGGTTTAAATGGTGACCTAAAAATGTTAGAAGTTTTTGGATTTTTGCAAGTTAAATTTTGTCTTATTGCCAATATAAATTTGGATACACTAGCTTCAACTCAAAGCAAACCAAATACTTTTAGCATTTTAATGAAAAATTTAAAGCAACCATTACTTCCTCAATATTGTATAGAACATAACAATTATAATCGACTTTATAATGAAATTATTGAACTTTTTCAAGATCAAAAAGTTGGTTGGATAGGTGGCCTATATGATACAATTGGCAAAACATTTATAAATCGACTTACAAATGCCTTATGGTTTATTAATCTGCATCTTTCTACATTGTATACATGTTCGTATCACTTGCCAGATTTTTTTACATAGTTGAAGACCTATCAGAATGAAGAAACATACAATAAATTTTATCATACTAGCCATCATAAAAAAAGTTCAATGTCATAACAAAAACTTGCTTATCTTGTAAATTCTCTTAAATTATCTATCAATCAACCATGAGCAAATAGTAATATATGGGATTAAAGATGGTCACCGCAATTAAAAAAAATAGCGCAATTGAGTTGCAACTTGTGGCGCAATTAAATTTTCTTATGGCGCAATTAAGTTACAACTCAATTGAAATTTAAAAATAATTATGGGAACCATCTTTATATGGGATCAAGTAATGCCTAAAATCCTTTCTCTAATTGAAATTTTAAAAAAATATTCTGAATATTAAATTAATACTGCTAATAGTATAAACAAGTTTCATTATAGTGATGAAAGTGCTCGCAATCCTGATAATAACAGTTTTATGTATTTAATTGCCGCTTGTAATCATAATAGCCTCAAAGATGATTATATTCAATTGAATGATTTTCTATTTGGAAGACCATTTTATGAACATGTCGATATTCAAGAATTTCTTTCAATTAATATTATGAAATGATACCGATTTATAAAAGAGTTATAGCTCACATTTCCAATAAGTGTATATAGGTTAGTATTTTAATATTATATCATAATTTATTTACAAAATCGTTAACAATTAATTTTATTTCTAGATTTTATCAAGAAAATTATTTAGGAATAATTAATTATGTATGGAGAATCCTAGAAACTGATATATTCAATGATGAACAAAGTAAAACTTTGAAAGCACGTATGCTAGCTAGAATTTACGAAAATTTATCCTATTACTTTACATGATAAATGTGAAAGAATGTGCTTAATAAGGTAATGAAAATGTAATTGATATTTGAATATTTAAATAAATCTATTATCTAACCTCATAATATTTATATAGTATTTCTATATCAAGAAAGTTACACTGGCTATATTACGAATGCTTTATTTTGATTTTACTAGTGATACTGCTATAAGTTCAAATGCTATTACTCGTAATGTTAAAGAGAGATTATGAATGATGTTAACTCTAGCAGACCCTGAAATAATATTTAATTTACGAGCAAATAATGGATTTAATAGAATAAAATTTAATACATTTTAGGATGAAACGGAAGCTTATTTTAATGAATAAGTAAGTTTTATATCTATTTATTTATCAGATATTTTTATTGAAAAATGCTTTAAATTATTTTATTTATTAGAATTTATTAGTAGTAAATGAAAGACGTTATAAAAATATTCTATATATACCATTGGCTTTATCTATTTGTGACCTTCGTAAAATTATTATAGAAAGATTAAAAAATTTTCATAGTGATCCTCTTCCTTCTAACATTCATATTCCATCAAATGAGTAGATTTGTCTTCAGTTTTGTCCTACAAATATTACAACAACACGATCAATATTTCATACTAGTCGATTTAATGTAAAATTTAAGGTGTAAAATTGACTGCTTCGAAAAAATAGTGATAATACATATTATTGTGCAATACTTTTTTGATATTTTAGGGAATTTTATATTCAATATCGTCAATAAACTTGCTTAATTTCTGCAGATGATAAACATAAAATTCCTATTGGAGAAGATGTTGCAGTTTCTACAGGTGTACGAAATTGACATTCTATAGTAACTTAAAATAATATCTTAGCTGCAGCTGATCATAATTTTACAAAACTTTCGTTAACTCCATCGTTTACATTTTTTATAACAATTCCTAATAATATTTCAGGATCATTTTATAAGGGTCAGGTATTTGTATCTTATAAGAATACAATTTTTGAACTAAGTACTCCTATTAGACATTCAGCCAAATTTTTAAATGCACTTAATATCCAATATATAAATCAAACAATGCCACCAATTTTATGCCTTTATATTGATAGAGGTTCAGATCATCGATGCAATTATGGATCAGTACAAATTATATTAATTAGTCTTTTTCTTTATGAAAATTTCAATTTGCTTATTGCAGTTCATACAGCTTCAAATCATAGTTAGACAAATCTAGCAGAACGTATTATGAGTACTTTAAATTTGGGTCTTCAAGGTGTAGCACTTAAACGTGATTCAATGAGTTCTGAATTGGAAAGTTTATTTAATACAGTAAATACCTTAGATGATATTCGTAAAAAAGCTCAAGAATCAAATAAATTAAAATCTGAATTAAAAGAAAGTATAGTAGGTATTAAAGAAATACTAAAAAATCGAACAGAGCAACTTAAATTAAAAGAAAATAAATTTAAATGTAATAATCCAGCGGATAAAAAAGCAATTGAAGAATTATTTGAGGTAAAAAATTAAATATATTTAATAAATGTATTTATGTAAATATTGTAAATATTATAATTTATTAATTTATAATATAATTTTATATAGGCAATTTATGATATAGATTCAACTTTAACAATTGAAGAAATTACACAAGCACAAATGCATCGACATTCTGCATTAATTGAATTTATAAATACTTATTGTCAAGCACATGCTTATAGTTTTCAGGTATATATTATAAATTGTATTATAATTAAATAATTTTTGTATTTTAATTAATATTAATTTTTAAGATAAAAAAATGCAACAATATTATCTGTTCATACTGTAAACCAATTCGTCTTTCATTGAATGAATTTTGTAATTTGAATTTTCTTTCAGATCTAATTCCTTTATTAGGTAAATTTATATATTTTAATATTTAATTTAATTTAAATACTAATAATTTTTAAAATAGATAATACAGATCATTATGCAACTTTTCAACATGTTTATGAAATGGAAACTACTGAAGAATTTAGACCAACATATATGCAGTTACAGGCAAATGCAGAGTTAATTCCAAAAGTATTTTAGTTGGAGAAAAAATTCGTGATTATATTAGTTGTGAATATTGTCAAAAATGTCATTGTGTATACAGCAATAAAGTTTTAAATAACGAGGAATAATATGACTATCAACAAGCATTAGAATCATATTCATACTCTTATAGTACACCAATTTTTCCTAATGATCATTGCTTAAAATAAACAGTATTTGTACGTACACAAATTAATTGTGATTCACTAATTGAAATATTATATTACTCAAGTTGTAAATCAGGAAATTATCTAATCTGTTATTATTGTGAAGAAAAAGAAGATTTGATAACACCTTCTCAATCATTGAAAGAACGTTTTAAATAAATATATCCATTATATGAAGTATGTTATGAAAATAAAAAAGACTTCCATACTAAAGGAGAGATTAAAACTAATAAATATGTTTCAAAAAATGTAAAATATAGATTTATAAAATAAAAATCATTATACAT